AATCATTTTCCTATACTGGTAGCGTTTCTGGAAACCTTTGGTGGGGAAATGTTGCCAACACAAGTAGAAGACGAGATTATCAAAAATGACCCCAACCTTCCGCGATTTGAGGTCATATTTTCGAGAATATTGTTCAGAACCCGACAGAAATAATAACTGGATAGCAGACCCTTTCAACGCAGATGTTTCAGATATCAACGGCTTGACAACGGTACAGGAAAATCAATTAATAAGAAGAAAATTTGTAAGAAATATCATGTGATTCAGCTTTAAAACATAATTTCAAAAAAACTCCTTTTTTGTACTGTTTTGAAATACGAAAATAATTTGTCCTAAAATTTCTGTGTTTTTTTAATTAAGGGGGTCCTTGAAATTGATTTTTTAGGGGTCCGCGAACAAAAAAAAAGATTAAGAAACGGCTCTATACAATCTCTACATCTAAAATTTTTTGAAAAATGTATGGTATAAGACTTGTATATGGTAACGGCTAACATGGATACTTGGCTAGTTTTTTAACACTAACCAGCAATTCAGCAAACTAACTAAAAGCGCTGTAATTTGGAAAGAATCCGCCCATTCTTGCAAAATAGCTGGTAAACAGCAGCTAGTTTAAAATCTAACTAGTTAGTAACTATTTATAATCTTATCCAATAGTCATTCTTATCATATATAGTCAATCTTATCCAATAGTCAAGCAGCACTAAAAGCAATCGGCTAAGTAACCGCATCAATTCGATGTTGGTCAAAGAATGCCTAGAGAAGCTGAACAAATTAGGCAAAAAAAAAGTTCTTCTATTCTGGGTACCCGCTCACCAAGGGATAGAAGGCAATGAAAAAGCAAACGATCTAGCTAGAAAAGGAGCAAACACTCCACTAACTGGACCAGAACCGTTCTGCTTTCCAAGCGGAAACCAAGTTAAAGCGGAACTCAAGAACCTGAAAGACTCCATTCGTAACCTTGAATGGGAATCCTCCAACGGTCTAAAACATTCAAAAAAGACCCATGACCGAGAAAAATCAAAGATTTACCTTGATTTGAGTAAGAACAATCTTCGGTTTGTCACGGGGTTTATAACAGTATACTGTCTCCTCAACGAAAACATCAGTATATTGAAGCTGAGAAACAACGGCGAATGCAGATTCTGTGAGGATACTGGGAAAACACCAGAACACCTTATCACTGAGTGCGCTGAGACGACTACCGTTCGTGCCATAAACTTTGGTAAGGCCGATCTCGGAGATGGAGAGATGGCCTATGTGGTGGAGTCTCAGATACTGGCTTTTGTCAAAGCCCTGAAACTGTATGATGAGTTATAACTCAAGAAAGGGGAACACACAATAGATCTGTAATAATAGGTCGCGGTGTCAGGTCTAAGGAGAGACCAAGTTAAAGAGGTGGAGAAAATGGAGACAGATCCTCCAGCCTCTACCTCACGGGTTCCTCAACCGGAGGCAAGCTCCTCGACTGTGAAGAGCGGCACGGAGGGCCAAACTCCAACCGTGGAAGGGTGTGTACCCTCGGAGGAAGAGGAGGATGGAAAATACCCAATTTGAGCACCCTCAAAATATTTAAAGATATAATTGCAATTTTACTTTAAAATGTCAGAAAAAAGCGTTGCCTTAAGGCCTAAATTAATTATAGTATAAAATAATGTTTTATGAAAAAAAAATGACCAGAAATAATTTAATCGCGATAGCAAATTTTGCTTTAATATACATTGTAAATGACGCTAACTGTAAAATGTCAGATTTTGTTGGTTCCTCTCTTCAGTATCGTCACGGTTTTCGGTACTACATCATCGTCTACGGCATCTCACAGGCTTACTGTTGTAAGCTTACGGTATTTCAATAAAAAATACTGTACAGTAAAAATTAAAAGCTAAGTAGCCCAAAAGAACGGTACTATTATAATGTACAGTGTGTCCCATTTTCTTGTCCTTTCCAGATGTCTCCGTTTAATATACTACATTTTGTATTGTCGGAGACGAAAATGAATCGCATAATCAACTAAAGAACTGAAAATAGGTACCCAAAATACTATACCAATACTCAAAATATTAAATAAATGACATACCATTCGTAGAGACAACATATTTAAAGCATTTTTGTTCAGAATATTAAAAAATATAAAGGGTTAACTAATAATAATTTAAACAAAAAAACGATTACCACCACTTGATTCTACAGAGTGTTTCAAAAAACATGTGCCATCTCTCATGGGGTGATTCCTCACGTAAAAATAAGATTTATTTTTCATATCAACATAGGTCCGATTCCACTTTGTTTCGTAGCTACAGGGTGTAAAAGTCTTAATATTTTTTCGATTTATTATAATTTTCTTCCCAGTACTTTTAGCGTTTCGAATGAAATTTTGAGGGTAAAAATTACTATAACTGCGACATATTTTAAAGCTAAAAAAGTGTTGACATATTCACCAGGGACGTGCATATAGGTTACACTGGAATATTTTTCTAAAAAAATATATAGTTTATTAACTTTATTTTTATTAATCGTGATTAATAAAATTGTGTTTATAGACCGAATTCGACAAAATATCAAGAGATAATTTTTAATTGATAATAAACGGCCTACAGAATTTTGAGATCAAAAGAAAAAAAGGCAGTGGCGCACATGTTTTTTGTTAATATTCCCGTGGTAACTCATATGCACGTCCCTGATGAATTTATTGACACTTTTTTAGCATTACAATATGTAGCACTTATAGTACTTAGAAGTAGAAGAAAATTATAATAAATCGAAAGATTATTAAAATTTGAACACCCTGTAGCTTCGAAACAAAGCAGAATCGGACATATGTTAATATGAAAAATAAATCTTATTTTTAGATGAGGAATCTCCCCACGAGAGACGGCACATGTTTTTTGAAACACCCTGTATATAAAAAAAAATATTTTGAAACCAGTTTTTAGCTATATTGGTTCAATGTTCAACTGAAGGATAACCGAAACACAAGAACTTTTCGGTAAATTACAAAAATATTTTGAAATGTGTTCTTTCTTTCTTCGCCAAACCCTGGAAAATCATCATTTAGCTTAAAATTATACTTTGAACAAACTAATGGATTATACTGATTACTGATTTACCAAGACGACAGTTCCCAATCATTTCTAGGAACAAATAGCATCTATAACCTAATACCTAGATGGTATAATTCTGATACTAAGTGTATACTGTAAACTAGGGATGTGCCAAAATAACCGGTTATTTCGATAACCGATTTTTTTTCAGTTAGTAACCGGTTATTAACCGGTTAATTTCCTACGTCAGTTTAACCTAATAACCTTCAGCTTTGGTCAATAACCGGAGGTCGGTTATTTTCTATTTTAGCTAAGTTCGGTATTTTTATTTTACATATTTCACAACAGTTTTTCTTTATTTATCGAGATTTGTCGGAGCCATAGACAAAGAGTCGGAGCATAATACCGAACACTTCTACTCTACTACTCCCAGCTACTCCGTCAAATATGAAATGTCAATAATCTGTGGTCAATAATGTCATCATAATAGAGAACAACGGCATACGGTCGAGTCGGCGGCTGCTGGCACGTATACGTAGACGTAAAGAATCTTTTGCGTGTATAAAAAATAAAAAATATAAGAAATGCGCATGCGTACGTAAACGTTTACGTGTTTGTAGGCCGACTAGACCGTATGCCGTTGTTCTCTAATATCATATAATGTCATGTCAAAGTCAAACTGGCATCCTTCCTTAACCTTAAAAAAATAAAAAAAAAATAGAACTCGTTCTCTTCTCGTTTTAAGTTCTCATACGTATGTATAACGGGCTTTGCTTTATATTTCATATTATTTTGCAGTATTTAGTGATAGTGCTTTTTATTTAAAATTAAATATCATGACAGACAGCTCAAAACAACACCTAGAAGGCACTTCGGCACTTCCACTTCAAAAAAAAGTGAAGTTTGGACCTTTTTTTCCAGAAATGGTAACGGCATTTAAAAGGTGCATTTTGTGTAATAAAACTTATAAGACTGGTGGAGGCACAACAAATTTAAAGAATCATTTAAAACTTAAGCATCCATAAGTAGTGTTTTTCCTTCACTTTTTGGTGTGTTTGAGTTTGTATTGGTTTTAATAAATTAATTACAAATATTACAATTAATTGTATCTTTTATTTTTTACACGGGATTACGAATCTAAATTAAGTAGATAAAATAACCGGTTATTACGATAACCGGTTATTTTAATATAAATTAACTGGATCAGGTTAAATTATTATGTAAATTAACCGGTTATTTTACAATAACCTCCTATCCCTACTGTAAACTTTGATTATGTCCTATATACAGGGCCCGGCAATAGTGCGTCGGGCATCTGTAGCTCCTAGAATAAAAAAACTTGGGAATCTTGTTTAACTGCAAATCCAAAGTATGTACTACACGATAACCGGTTATTTTAATATAAATTAACTGGATCAGGTTAAATTATTATGTAAATTAACCGGTTACCGATAACCGGTTATTTTACAATAACCTCCTATCCCTACTGTAAACTTTGATTATGTCCTATATACAGGGCCCGGCAATAGTGCGTCGGGCATCTGTAGCTCCTAGAATAAAAAAACTTGGGAATCTTGTTTAACTGCAAATCCAAAGTATGTACTTCATGAAAATATTTTAACATGGTACGGTTGTATTTGGATGTATTTCATGAAAATATTTTAACATCTACAGGGTGACTCAAAAAGTGTAAGTAGACTGGAGTGATCTTTTTAAATGGAACCTGTATAATATTCCATTTTTGGCTGGTTTCCTTTCAGATCACTTTACAGAATCCTAAGATATGAGTAAATATATTTATAGCAAGAGCATTCAGAGCAAGGCAGCTCTAACTAAGGTCGCCATTTATGTACTGTTATATTGAGAGAACTTGATTGTTGCAGGAAACAAAATGGAGCTGCTTGGTTATTGCAGCCACCCCTTCAATTAAGCCAATGAAACACTGACACTGAATATTAATCTTTATTAAAATTATACTTTAAATAGCAACTTTTACAACCATATAACATGAACAATTATATTTGGTAAATGATTTAAGGACAATAGTGAAGAACAAAATATTTTAAGTTAACAGCATTCAGATATCAATATCATGAAATAGCACCAACTCTATTATTCAGGCGACATCTTACATTCACTGTGAAGTATCATCGAATCCATACTATTTGCAAAACAATTTTGTTGTAATAGTATTAGTCTCTTCTCTGTTATAATTTGTTGAAGTTCCAGCTGAAGCTCCAAGGCCTCTTTTAGAGGCAAGCTTTTTAGTTGCGAAGCGACACTTTGACCAAATATGTCAAATTCTGATTGTTCAGTGTCCTTTCTAAACCTTTTTGCAGTAGTCTGAAATTCTCTCTCTGGGGCCAAGTCTTCAGTAACGAGTTGTTTATTATCAGACACTGATGTGGCAGGTCTGACTTGTTGTGGTTGTCTGACAGGTGGTGGTTCACTCACTACTTCTGGAGTTTCATTGTCAACTACTAATGACGCCTGTAATAAAACAAAGTTCCTCAATTAAATCCGTTTAAAATACTACAAATATATATTTTTTTGGCCTGAAATGAGCATGGCTCAAAGAATAGATATATAATACTATATTTAACATTTTTACAGCTAGTTTTGCTGTTTATGAGATAAAGCTTCATTCAGAACCTTGAGATTAGTGAAATAAATTAGTGGTTTCATTACACTTTACACTACTTAAAAATGTACGGTCATTCTCAATCTCATCAAAAATAAAATATCCTAGCAACAGCTTGCGGTAGTGAGCTATACCTATTATAGAGAAAGCCTAGATTAGGCTATAAAACTATAATTTTTTGATTTCTATAACAACAATTTCTCTTGACGGATGATAATCATGATACAAAGATATCAATGTATATGATATTGCGCGGGTTCTTGGAAAAATGGCTAAATAAAACTATTAATTTTATATTTTATATTAATAAATATTCTGTCTTAAAAATAAATTCTCAAAGATCAGCTGACATTACGTGTGTTAGCACACACGTAATGTCTAAAGTCTGCTGACAGTCTAGACTCGGCTAAAAGCAAAATTTAAAAAATATATATATATAGATAATGTAAATATATGTTCTTCCTTACTTACCCTATTATCCCAAGGCTTGTTTCTCAATTTTAAAAATTGCAGGGCATTATAGGCGAACCAACGAGTAGTATAAACTTCATCCGATCCTAAATAAATAGTTATTTTAAGTAAAAAATAGATAAATTTCCACATGTACAGGGTGGACCAAATTTGACACTTTTAAAGGGAAACACCCTTTTCTAAAAGAGATAGGCCAAAACCGATATGGGTATCTGGAGCTCATTTTTTAATCATTTTGTAAAATCAAAAACATGATGCTAAAAACCACACATCGAAAATTCGATATCTGTTACCGTTCCGGAGTTACGTCAAAAATGTGCATTTTTAACATATCGCTGTAACTTTTTTGCTATAAAAAATGTTGTGTTTTATATGCAAACATTTCCACTTTGATAAAAACACCTTTTTATGTGGAATTGAATGGTTTAAATATAAATTTTTTAAGTTAATAATTACAGATATAATAGTACACAGGGGTGTAAGGGGTACGGTCTAAAACAAGATCAGCCCAAGTATCAACCTCACCTGCTCGTGTGATGAAGAACATCATCCGGTGCACCCTGCTAGATAACCGACGAGGCTCTGACGACCGAATATTCGCCGGAATAAGCGATCCACTACCAGTTTGTCAACGGCTACGGGCGGATGAACAAATGGTAGTGAGGGCACCCTTTTGTCCTGAGGCCGAGAAATCGACCTCAAAGGCGGATGAACGACAGAAGAATAGTCAACGGCATAAGGATATGGAAAGCCATGGAATGACTACCATATTAAAGATCTTTAAAGATATCCCTGGGACATTGTCCTGTAACTCTTCTTTATCATGTCAGGAAATCTAAACAACACGGCCCTCAGTCCCGGGCAGATGTTCAATCATCAGAGGGTGCTAAGAATCCCCCGGCTTGACATGAGAAAGACTAAATTGCGCTTTGGGACTTGGAATACCAGAACACTTTTGGCGGCAGGCAAACTTGATAACGCCGTAAAGGAAATGCTCAGACTCAATGTCGATATCCTTGGAATTAGCGAAACCAGATGGACAGATAGCGGCGTATGCTTGAGGAGTGGGACGACATTTTACTATTCAGGGAACAGTGATCCGAACCATAGAAACGGTGTGGGATTTATCATGAGAAATAATATTAAGAAGTCCATCCGAAATGTTGTTGGGTTTTCGGACAGAATCATTCTACTGCAATTGAATGCTAGCCCAGCAAATATAAATCTTATCCAGATATACGCACCTACAGCAGATAAACAAGATGAAGAGGCAGAGGAATTATACGGACAGATACAGGAGGTGCTTCGATCTTTGAAATCCCATGAAATCACGATAATCCTCGGCGACTTTAATGCTAAGGTTGGAAACGGCAGAGTTGACGATGTGGCAGGCGCCTTCGGACTATGTGAAAGAAACGGATGTGGGGAACTCCTCCTACATTTCTGTAAAGAGGAGAATATGGTCATAAAGAACACATTTTATAAACTTCACCCACGGAGGTTATACACGTGGAAATCTCCCCAAGATAGCTATAACAACATCTACGTAACCAAATAGATTATATATTAATTAATAGAAGATATCAAAATAGTATCAAAAAGGTTGCCGCTTATCCTGGTGCCGACATCGGCTCTGACCATAACCCCCTGATCGCAGACTTTCAATTTAGAGTCAAACTAATATCGGAGAAAAGAACAACAACACAGAGACATTATAACATGAACTGAGGGAACCAGCAGTTGCAGACAGAATGAAATTCGAATTAACAGAATTATAGGCAAGTAATAACAACAATCCCGGACTTAACGATAGTCCAGATGACATATGGAACAGCATAAAACAAAACATTCTGACTCTTTCCAACGGTTTTCTGATACCAACAACAACAAAGAAAAACAAACCATGGATGACCGATGAGATACTCTCCCTCATGGAGGACAGAAGAATTGCAAAAGTCAAACAACAACAACAAAGATACACCGAAATAAATAGAACTATTAAACAACAATGCCAACAAGCTAAAGAAAACTGGGTAACTGCAGAATGCCAAGAGGCGGAACGCATGCATGCTCTGCACGGCTCTGTAAATTTTCATAGAAAACTCAAACAAATTACTAGCATCACAAAAAAAGCACCAATACCTGCCCTAAAACACAATGGGAAATTGATTTTAGACCCGGTAGATCTATGCAGCACATGGAAAAGCTATGCACAATTATTATTTGAAGACCAAAGAGAAGACAGATAACCTCTCAATTGTGAAGACTGGTCGGGCCCGGAAATTCTTGAATCTGAAGTTCAGCATGCTATGAAAGGTATGAAAAATCGAAAAAGCCCCGGTCATGACAACGTGCATGCAGAAGTTCTTAAAATATTTGACTCAAAGCATCTCACATATCTATTCAATCGAATATACGATACGGGTAAAATTCCAAACGACTGGCTAAAATCAACTTTTATAACAATTCCCAAAAAGGCATCTCCAAAAGACTGTAGTGACTACAGACTTTCTTCAGATAAGTCTAATGAGTCATGCTCTGAAACTTTTTCTTCGAGTCATGCATGCTCGTATATACTCGAAATGTGAAGAAAAAAGCGGAGAGACACAGTTCGGCTTCATCAAGGGGCTGGGTACCAAAGAGGCTTTGTTTTCAATCAAGCTACTAATCCAGAAATGTTATGATCAACGCCAAGATGTCTTTGTGTGCTTCATAGATTATCAGAAGGCTTTCGACAACGTTAAACACGATATTCTCCTAAACAGACTGCTCGAGATAGGAATAGACGCCAAAGACATTAGAATCATACAGGAACTATATTGGAACCAAACCGCGGAGATAAGAGTTAACAAAAATTTATCCACAGACACCTTCAATGTGTGTCAAGGAGTCCGCCAGGGCTGTGTACTGTCACCAATACTTTTTAATATATACGTCGAAAAGATATTTCAAATGGCCCTGGAAGGAGAAAGTGAAGGAATCAAGATTAACGGAGTTCCAATTAACAATATAAGATATGCAGATGATACAGCAATACTAGCACCAACTTTAGAGGATCTCCAGCAAATAATAAATAAGATAGGGGACATGGGAAATCGTTTCGGTCTTAAAATCAACGTTGCCAAGACCAAACTTATGGTAATAGGACGCCAGCCTACAATCAACACCGCATTGACCGTGGATGGAAATATTATAGAGCGAGTTCCTCGATTTAAATATCTGGGTGCCATGATCAATGAACGATGGGACTGCGATGAGGAAGTTAAACTTAGAACGAATTATGCAAAGTCAATATTTTTGAAACTTAAAAACTTCCACGCACGCAGTCTCCCGCTAACACCTAGACTACGGGTAGTAAAATGCTACATATGGCCTATCTTACTATACGGCGCAGAAACCTGGTCTCTCAAGGCTAGAACCCTGAACCGCATCGAGGCTTTCGAAATGTGGACTCTCCGGAGACTCTTACGTGTGCCATGGACCGCACATGCCACCAACGAAGAAGTTTTAAGAACTGCAGGCTATGAACGAGAAATGCTCAATATAGTTAAGTCTCATACCTCGGCCATATCCTTAGAGAAGACAAATATTACATTCCTAAGCTGATTCTACAAGGAAAAATAGAGGGACGGCGAGGCCCAGGAAGAAAACAACATTCCTGGCTGAGAAACATACGGGATCAACAACAACAACGTAACATACGTAACATCAGCAAATATACGTAACATCAGCGACGCAGCCACCATATTTCAAAGAGCCGAAAACGGCAGTCTACACATTGTATGAAGAGTACAGACAATCGCCAACGTGCGGCTAAGCACAAGGCACAGGAAGAAGAAGAATAGTACACAAAGATTTATTTTTTATATTGGACCGCCTGTATATTTTAATTCACCGACAAGAACTAAAAATTACCTTTCCAAAAATAAAGCACACTTGATATTATGTTCGAGTTCCCTTCGAAATACAGAATTTTTAGAAATTCCCCACTTCTTTGGATCCCTTATTGATGCTCTGTCCCTAATGGAACCTGGAAATATATTTTTTTCAGCAAGACGAGGCACCGCCTCGCAATGCTGAAATTATCAGCAATTTTTGGCAGCCAATTTCGAGAATAACTGGATAGCTAACCACAAGTCCCAGCCGTTGGACGTCGAAGCCGCTGGACTTAACACCTATGGATTTTTATTTTTGAGGAAGACGAAATGATCTTATTTTTGAATTGCCCACATACAACTCTAGACAAGAATTAGAAGTACTTAGCGGTTAGGTTAGGTTAGGTTAGCCTAGTAATGTTTAGGTATGTCATATAAAAAAACAGTTAAAAAATATATAGGTGGCGCCCCCTACAAGTGGGAGTCACACTGACATTGAAATCGAATTTCTCATGTCAAAGAACACCTAGACACCAATTTTCATCTACCTAAATATCGAAGTTAGCTCAGAAATTATTTGGAAAATATCGAAACAAAAATAAAACTTCTACACCCTGTAACTCCGAAACGAAGCACTTTAGAACATAAATTTATACGAACTGTTTTACTTATTTTATCTGCAGAATATATTGCCGAAGCTATACGAATGCAATTCGGACCACCCTGTATAATATGCGAAACCGTCTAAAGGTGCGTTCACACCGGCTGCGCCGCGCCGCGCCGCGCAAATCATTTTTTTAATATATACTTTTGTGCGCGCTAAAAAAAATACACTTCAAAAGTACGCGGAGCGTCGCGCGTCTAAGCCGGTGTAAGCGCACCTTAACGGGGGGCTTTCTTTCGTCATTGTCTATACCGCCGGGGTCGACGGTAATCTAGCCAGTTTTTTTAAATAACAGAGTAAAGTACAGAGTGATTTAAACTTGGCGCTTTGGGCTAAAATTATTAGGAAAATGAAAAATTGGTCGACATACCTATAGGTACCTATGTAGAATGTAGAATGTTTAAGAGGGGAGTTAGTCACCGCGACCTTACAGATCTATTGTGTTTTCCCCTTTCTTGAGTTATAACGAGTTATAACTCATCATACAGTCTCAAGGCTTTAACAAAAGCCAGTATCTGAGACGGCTCCACAGAGGCCAGCTCTCCATCCTTGACATCAGCCGTACCAAAGTTCATGACACGAATGATCGTCGTCTCGGCGCACTCAGTGATGAGGTGTTCTGGTGTTTCCCCAAATTCCCCACAGAATCTGCATTCGCCGTTGTTTCTCAGCTTCAGCCTACTGAGGTGTTCGTTGCGGAGACAGTGTCCTGTTAGAAACCCCGTGACAATCAAAAGATTGTTTTTACTTAAATCAAGGAAAACCTTTGATTTTTCTCGGTCGTAGGTTCTGAGGAACTTTTTCGAGTGTCTTAGACCGTTGGAGGATACCCATTCCAAGTTGCGGTTGGAGTCTTTCAGATTCTTCAGTTCCGCTTTCAGTTGGTTTCCGCTTGGAAAACAGAACGGTTCTGGTCCAGTTAGTGGAGTGTTCGCTCCTTTCCTAGCTAGATCATTTGCTTTTTCATTGCCTTCTATCCCTTGGTGAGCAGGCACCTAGAGTAGGAGGACTTTATTTTCTTTGCCCAACTTGTTGAGCTTCTCTAGGCATTCTTTGACCAACTTCGAATTGATGGTTACTGAGTTGATAGCGTTTAGTGCTGCTTGACTATCGGAGAGGATGGCAAATACCTATACCTATACCTCTTTGTATATTTATTACTTTTTGGTTTGTGGTAAACCATTTGCTCTCACAATCGGAAAGAATATTTTTTTTTGTTAAATAATTTATACACAAAAAATATTTTCCCCGGTCATCTCCGCTAGTTTTTGAACACTCGCCGCGCTTCACCTGTCGCGATTGTTATCTTATGTAAACAGCACCAGTCTTGAGCTTGAGAGTTTTTATAAACGCAGCTTCAATGGAGCTCAATATCCAACAAAATGATCGTAAGTCGACTAGCTACCTAATAAATAGGTTGTTGTATAATTTCGAAACAAAATATCTATGACGACGTTAGTATCGCCATTTTTAAAAAACTTCGAAGGCAACTATAGCATATACAAAAAGTTCCTTAACCGTATTAACATATTGATAAATAATTTCATCGAGCGACTTTACATGTTCACTTTCCATTCTCCTAGTATTAGCCCAAGACGCCATGTTACACACAATAGATCTGTAAGGTCGCGGTGACTAACTCCCCTCCTAAACAAAAAAAAAGACGCCATGTTTGAATCACCTAGAGCAGCTTCTTAACCTTTTCAGTTCGCGGACCCTAAAAAATCAAGCACAATTTAAAGGACCCCCCTAATTAAAAAAAAGAAATTTTAGGACAAATTATTTTAGTACAAAAAAATACATTTTTATAAAAAAAAAACAAAATGTTCATAGATAAGACGGCGGACCCCCATACACATACTCGCGGACCCTCAGGGGTGGAACTCTGTAACTAAATAGCGATACCATACCGATGAAGAATACTGACCTTGGCCGTAGAAACTAAAAGGCAAGCGACAGTATTCCTCATCGCTACCGATCGCTATTTAGTTACAGAGTTCCACCGTAACCACCGTTACGGTTCCACCCCAGGAGTCTGCGGTAGAGACCTGCACGGGCCGGTTTTTTGTAGCCCGAGAAGAGAAGTAGGTTTTGTAAGCCCGGCCCGGTTTGTGGAAAGTTAAAACTTTAAACTAGTCCGGCCCGGCCCGAACCATTAAAATAAAATGATCAAAATAAAATTACAAAAATCCTTTTAATTACAATTATTCCAAGTAGTTCTTTGTCGATTCCCGACAATCTATCAATTTCACATAAACATAGCCTAAAAATGCCTGTTATAATACAGGGTGTCTCAAAAACATGGAGAGAAGCAAAGTTGTGTTTATTTAAAGTGCGGAACCGGCCCGGCCCGAGGCCCGACCCCTATTGACAGTGCGAAAACGGCCCGGCCCGAGGCCCGGGTTCGGGCCGGGCCGGGCTTGGGGCCCGTTCGGGCTACCCGGCCCGTGCAGATCTCTAGTCTGCGGACCACCGGTTAAGAAACGCTGACCTAGAGATACCTATAAAGATTAGGTACAGTTTTGAGAGTTGAAACTTTTGGTGTTATAACAGCAAAATAAAACACCAATACACCAAAACACTTTACTTTTGCAATGGACGCGCGTTTTAGTAACCATGTTAGCATGATCAGCAAATTAATAAAACTCTGTTTTTTAATCATGAGTGTCTGATCATCTGCTGAGTTTTAATAACCCGCTGATGATGCTAACATGGTTAGCAAAACGCGCATCCAGTGCAAAAGTGCTTTGGTGTATTGTGGTGAATTAGTATTCTATTTTGCTAGATATATAGAGTTAGAGTTATGTAGAATATGTATGAACGTGCGCAGAAACTCTAATTATGGTGGCCGCCATGTTCGCGCTTAGGTCTATAGGGAAAGGTCAGAAAGTAATAGTGATTATAAGTTTCATGACGGTCATCTTCATAGTTAATCTTAAAAATATTATTATTAGGGTAATATTGATTAGACTACTACAGTATACAACATAGTACATATTAAAAATGAATAATGATCTTTTTATCAGGGCCAAGAAACAGAAAATACTACAGATAATAGTAAAATTATTATAAACAATCATTAAAGCCATTTTTATCAAACTTCAGCGCAGTATGGGCATGTAGGTATAATGTAATAATAAATAATAAATGTAGGTATATTCCTTATTTTATTTCGCTGTTTTGCAATGAAAGTTTTTATTTTGAAAGAATTTCCCTGTATGATCCCACCAGTAGGTACTCTTAAAATTTTAGCCATGATTTAAATACTAAACGAACAGAATAAAATTGATTGAACTATCTACTAATTATCAAAATTATTACAAATAAAATATTAAAAACAGTTTAGAAGAACACAAAAGACGTTTATATCAGTCTATAGGTTCAAAACAACAACAAAACATTAGAACACGTGACAAACTAACCTCGAAAAACCTACAAATTTGCAATAATAGTAGGATAAGAACTCAGAAGTTATGAGCTGTTATTATTACTTATTGATCTCCCCCGTAGAACTAAGCGCGAACATGCCGGCCACCATGGCACACAGAAAATGAATACGTACTCGTCGAAGCTCATTCTCCCTACCTCTATATCTCTAGAATCACCATTGTAAAACTTCATTTTACTTATACAATAATAAATATTACTTATACCTATTATATTTACCTTCTTTCTTTGACGTCCGTATTTTATTTTTTTCTTTTCTATATGTGGCCAATAAGCTCATAATTTTTCTTTTACAATCTGCCGGTGATGCTCCTACAGCTAAGCCAATTTTATTCCACGTTCTCGTTTTTACATCCTTCTTGAAATAGTCAAAGTGCCTAGAATCCCACAAATTCCTATGTAATTTGTAGTTCCCAACTAAACACAACGATTTTTCTTCGGACCATTCCATTGTGGACTACACCCCTCACAGACTCGTTGCGAACTAATAACCGTCGTAACAGCACGAGCTTGCCACGAACCCACCAGACCAGACGCGTCGCATTCCGTAGGCTCCGATAAATACCGGCAACGAACGGAAAACCGATTGGAGCGTCTCGCCAGTGGCGCACGAGCCTCGCATTTCAGTTCGACGTTGGCGCGTAGCAGCGGCAGCGTCGCCGATTTATTTTTCGCTCCTTCAGTGTTCTTCACTTACAAATTACACCAGAAAATGGTGTGCGATTATGAAGACGCCCGTAGGGAAAGATTATGTTATACACCTTAAACATGTGAAGTATAATATTTACAAAGTTAGTTGGAACGGTTCACCGGAGTTTTGAAGTCTCAAATCAATCCAACTGGCTTCTTCGTCTGCGCCCCTAACATATTTTACCCTGCAGTATTACTTGAATAAGTTGGTATTTATCATTACGCATCTACGGTATGTCATCTTTCTCACTTTCACACTATGTGTAAATTCTAGTTCCTTTTGCATTCGTTGGATCACGATGTTGATTGTGACATGGTAAGTGTATGAAATCCTGAGCATGCGGCGATAGCACCACATTTCAAAGACTTCCAAGCGTTTAGATGTAATATCTGTCAAGGTCCAAGCTTCCACTCCATATAGGAGCGTGGAGAATAATACGTAGCACCTTAGAGGACGTGTGTTCATATAGCAATATTCAAGTGCACATTGCATAGGACCTTTCTAAAACAGTTAAAAACGGTTCTGGCTTTTTCTATGCGGCATCTGACCTCCAGTGACTCACTAGAGATCAGATGCCAGAATGAGATCACTTACTAGTAGTGAGTGATCCCATTCCTTGTTCAGGCTGCAGCTGCAGCCCAAATACGTGAGTGTATCTGCTGTTTCCAAGGTTTCGTTATTGGCCCTAAAATGGTGGTACTGCCAACTGGCTTAGGAATTACTATACCAAAGGAACGATTTTGCCTCCCTTAAGTCATATTATATCAATAATAGTACAGTCTGACAAGATCCTTGACAGTGATAGATGTGTCTGTTATTTTAATTTCAAATTAGTTTGTTTTATTTTACAAAGAAATTATTGGTACAATTGGAACGCAGCAAATTAATATATTTAAAATTTGAGACAAGTGATTGCTTCAAAATATTTAAAAAAACTGTATAAAACTGAAAAAATCTAATCACGTCATTTTTTTAAAATTACGGTCTGTGTATACAAAACAAACAAGAGTGTATTTTGAACGAAGCACCACAGACCAAAAAAAAAATATTAAAAAGAGAGAACTATTTCTTACTTTCAAATTTCCTGCAATTATTATTATATTTAGCAATATAACTTATGTACAAATATTTTTTTTAACATTGCACAGGAATAAATAAAACACAATACAAATAAAGTATTTTATTAATAATAATACTTACTGACTTTAAACTGTACTGGTGGCTGGTGGCTCTCTGAGCACCGAATATTAACTATAAACTGTGCTCTGAGTTTACAGTTAATTTTCACTCGATTTTTCCTCCACTTAACTTCAAAAAATACAAAACACACAACTAATAACACGAACCAAAATGCAAAAGCAATTCGAAACTAGGTATTTTACACAAATTACACCTAACCTATAATTTGGCAAGAGTTTGACAAGTCTCACAAATCTTAAGTCGAGTTCATACGTATCTGCGTCTGTGAATCGTTCCGTCACTCCATAATATTGATGTGTCATTTTTGACATAAACTGTTAACTTTGTAAAAACAGCAAGAGACGACGCATGACGGATTTATATATAAATCCATCCATAGTTAACTTAAAAAATATTAGAAACTTTTTTTAGTAAAATAACTGGATTGGTATGGACGTCATCTGCCTTGTTTCTGTCATCGTCTGTCGAAATCTTACCTGAGTAAAAAAAACAAATAGTAATATACAAATACTAGGCCAATTAGAGATATGCAAAAAATTGCTACCTGTATTTTTTACAGTGAAATAAAATAGCATTTCACAACTTTTAACAATTTTAAAATTAACTATGAATGACAGCGATCCGCCGCGTTCTTTGAAACTGTTTCTATCGTCTGTTAAAATCCAGCAACTAAGAAGTAGACCACTCTGTATCTAATATTTATTGTATAAACTATAAATTTAATCAAAAAAATTAATGAGGGGATACCCATCTAAATCGGAATTTTAGACTATTTTGTTATCAGGTAGGTAGAGTAAGTAGTTATCAGGCAGGTAGAGTAAAGTGGCTATCGCACAGCTATCAGTCATAATTTCTGTGAAGCCGATCCCTAGACCTAAATACATATGCCATTTCTTTAAAAAGTAGTCAAAAATTAATACACATCTAAGTATTTCCAAAAATAACAACCCAGCTATGTTACGCTGTGAAAAATTGAATTAACTTATGATTAACTTCTTCTTCTTCTTGTTTCACGATGACCACGCGCCTTTCGACGGCCAGTCGGAGTCTAAACTTATGATTAATTTTCTAGTTATCTTCAGATTGCCAATTACTTAACATAACCTCATATTTGTAATAATTTACGTTATTTGTTAACTAATTGTACGAGTTATAACTCATCATACAGTCTCAGGGCTTTAACAAAAGCCAGTATCTGAGACGGCTCCACAGAGGCCAGCCTCCATCCTCGACATCAGCCGTACGTAAGTTCATGGCACGAATGGTCGTCGTCTCGGCGCACTCAGTTTTTCCCACGGCACGCCATTTTTCCCACAGAATCTGCATTCGCCGTTGTTTCTCAGCTGCAGCCTACTGAGGTGTTCGTTAAGGAGACAGTGCCCTGTTAGAAACCCCGTGACAATCCGAAGATTGTTTTTACTTAAATCAAGGAAGACGAAGATTTGATTTTTCTCGGTCGTAAGTTCTGAGTCTTCCAGATTCTTCAGTTCCGCTTTTAGTTGGTTCCCGTTTGGAAAACAGGACGGTTCTGGTCATGTTCTGGTCCAGTTCGTAGATGTTTAGTCCTTTTCTAGCTAGATCATTTGCTTTCTCATTGCCTTCTATCCCTTGGTGAGCAGGCACCCAGAGTAGGAGGACTTTATTTTCTTTGCCTACTTTGTTGAGCTTCTCTAGGCATTCTTTGACCAACTTTGAATTGATGGCTACTGAGTTGATCGCGTTTAGTGCTGCTTGGCTGTCGGATAGGATGGCAATTTCCTGTTTTCGATAGTTCCTTTTTAAGATAAATTGTACGCAGCTTTCGATAGCGGAAATTTCTGCCTGAAGGATACTGGGGTAGGTGCCCATTGGTTCGGAGTTCGGAGTATTTAAAATACTCCTATCCCTGTCCCTGCTTTAGTTTTGGAAGCATCAGTATGCCACGTTATGGTATGGTCTTTTACATGCTGAGTAAGTCTTTCTTGCAAATAATACACGAAGAAACAATAAATACGAAATAATCGTTTAATTTTCCAAAAACTTAATTGCGACAAGGAAAATTGCAAATTTTCTTGTATGCAAGTCAAATTGCGAACTGCAAAGCGGCCTTAGCAGAAATTGTCTTTTTATTAAAGACCTCTGTAAAGTTTTTTAATCTCCGTTAACACGGATTAAAAAATAGCAAATTAATTGCAATAGGTATGTAATAATTATTATTGTAATTAATTTGATACGTAGATGAGCCAAAAACTTCCAGCTACAGCGCCCTAATTCCCCGACTTTCCTCATAAAGCCCGCGAGTCGAACGGCTCGCTAACTTTTGGGAATTTTTAGCGTGCCGTCCAACCAACCACCTGTCCTGATGTAAATCCCCCGCGACAACCAAGGGCGGCAGCAAAGGGTACCTGCTAGCTCCCGATCATCATCCCACCCCTACTAGCCAACCCTGTGTTCGAGCTGAGCCAGCAAAACTACCGCACCGGCTTTGCTGGCCCAGCAGAGCACACACACACATTCATAGCCGGCGTTTTCGTAGTGGCGTTTCGAGGCGACGCTGCCGGTTCGACGTGTCTAAACCTTGGTCGGCGCGTCGGGCCCCCCTGTTATACGAAAATAAAGTTAGAGGAACGCGACGTTGCCGATCCTTTCCGAAAATCGCAGACATTAGTAGATTTTAAGAACTATAAATGTGGAAACAAAAAAGATAATATATTTTGAATACACTACAGCTTTATTTATTTATCTAAATATAGCGGCCACTGATTACGGAAAGCAATGGCAAATGACCGATACTATATGTATTCCTATCGTACAATCTCTCTTATAGAGTATGTCCAACGAGAGGATATATGACAGTGACAGTGGAATGGTTTGTCATCGCTGATCAAAAAATTAAGTATGTATAGTAGGGTTCAGAACCGGGAAATCCCAGTACCAAGGTTCTTTTGACACATCAAAGAACCGGGACTCGAAATTATTAATTCCCGGTTCTTTCGGGACAAGGTAATAATAATTAAAAACATATTTTTTGTTACGTGCGAAAGACTTTTGATACTTTCTAGCGGTCGAAATCAAACTGTTCTAAATAAGTAGTAATGCTATCTCTTACTGTTTTTACTTCTGAAATTATTTTGAAGTTTTTATAATGTTTATTAGCAATTATTATTGACGTTTAAATATGTTATTTTATTATTTAGTATAATATTGCTGAATGTATTCGTCACATTTTTTTGTGTTATGTTTGTATAGGCATTTGCATCTTTAATTGAAAATGTTAAGTTTTTTTTCTAATTTAGTTAAGTTGGTTGATGTTGTTTGATGTAATTTTTGAGCTACCGATGTGTTTTCTTTTCTTTTCGCTTGTGTTCATATTTGCGTTCATGTATGCATACTTTCTCATGACTTAATAATTTGATCTTATTTTCATTTAAAACTCATTTTTTTAGGGATTTTACTTTGAAATGTTTTATTTATGAAAATGAACAAATATTTTTATATTGTTTTATTTTTATATAATGGTTTTCTTAATTTCGTTACTAAATTTTTCAATATTAATTAAAAAAGTTAGCATCTTTCGAAGAATGACATGATCATCGATTTTGATTGTAAACACATATTTAATTTCTGTAATAATCTTATACGTTTTAATTTATTATATTAAATAATTTGCATGAATATCTTAAACAATTAGCACCCTATAC